ATTTTTGGTATAGTAGTTGTGACTTATTCACACTATATACATTTGGCTTCCGCAACAAAAACATCTCCAGCCAAATCATGCACAAGATCATGCATCTTACAGTGTGTTATATCGTTGTGCTCATTTAGCTTAACATCTTGCAGCAAGGAATTTTGCAACAAAAGTTGAAAAACTTTGTTCCCAACGTTTTCCATCACAGAGGTCTCTTGACATGGACGAAGAAATCCTTCTGCCATCCAGAGTTGGATTAGTTGGTCCTTTTCAAACTCAAAATCTTTTGGAAACATTGCAAAGTAAGCAAAACATTTTTTCAGATGTGGAGATGGTAGATAAATATAGCTCAGTTTTAGGATTTTCTTTAAGCTATTTTCCCCATTATCACCTTCACCTGCAACAAGGGCGTTGCCATCAAGAATTTCCTGCCATTCATGTTTTCCCTTATTGCGTAAGAGGCCTCCCAACGCATTTGCTGCCAACGGTAGACCTTGACACATTTCAACAACCCTGTTGCCCAAGCTCACGACTTCCTCTGGTACCTCCCCATCAGCAAATGCTCTTTGTTTGAAAATGGACCAACAGTGATCTTCTGCTAATTTTCCCAACATATGAAGATGTGTTGCTACTGCGGATGCCACCTGATCCCTACGAGTAGTCACGAGAATGCAGTTTCCTCTGGATATGTTTATTCCTTTCAAGGTGTCCGCAAACTCATGCCACAATGTAGGATCGACACGCCACAAATCATCTAGGACAAGCAAATACTTCTTCCCTCCCAATTCATCTTGCAGCTTCTTTACTATTATATCCCTGCTTTGCACCTCAGTTTTCCTCTCTGTCAATGATTCGAGGATCAGTTCAAGAAATCTCTTAGTTTCTAACATTTCAGGTAGACACAACCAAACTCTTTTTTCAAAATGTTGCTTGATGTGTTCATCATTGAAAATTCTCTTAGCCAGAGTTGTTTTCCCTAAACCTCCCATACCCACTATGGAAAAGGTGCACAAAACAATATCCTCTCTCATGTTCAACATCTTATCCTTTATTTCGGCAACATCCTTCTCTCTACCAACAACATCTGAAGCAACTATTATGGAATCCGTTTCTCGAATTGGTAATATTTGCTGAGAAGGACCACTTAGGGGTTGGAGACTAAGAGTATTGGCTAACTGATTGATAGCCCTCAACTCTTCATTGATGTTGTTGATTTTTCGAGACATTTTGCTCTTAAAAGCTATATCAGAAAAGAAATTACCGAACTTTTTCCTAGGGTTGCTTCGGATCTTCGTCACTTCAGCTTTGAGAGATTCATATCTCATTTCGTCAAACAGGTTTTCAGCATCTTCAGCAACTCTCTCAAGCCTCTTCAGCCATTTATCAACAGCCTGATCCTCAACTTGTCGTCTTTCAGCATCATGAATGAAAAATTGGATCATGGATACATTTTGTGTCAGCATTCTGAGATCTTTCTTGTAGTTCCTTAAACTTTTGACCTCCTCAATAGCGGGAGAAAGCAATTTCTCAAGCACAACTTGAACAGTAGCACCAATTACAGGATCCGCCATTGTTGCGTTTGCTCCTTCACAAAAGTCTTCTTCTTCCTCTACAGTCTACACCAAATTAGTCTTCCCAAAGTTCTCACGAAGTCTTCTTTTGCTAGTTTGTGTAAAGGAAAAGACCATAATTTATTAGTCGCATAGGGAGTTTTCAGCTAAGATTATCCGACTACTTTGCATTTTACACCCCTACCCCTGACATATGCAATTACTAGTCGGTTATAAAAAAATTAAATTATAAATACGATCTTATTGTAAATTTATCCGGGATAGAGTAGATTAATTTTTCATGTGTATATATTTCTTTATAAATATTTTAATTATTTCCAAAACATTCCATATCATTAATTTCAAAGATAATTTTATTATCCTAAAGAGATAATTATTGTCTGATAAAACCATACATTTGAACTTGAAAACATATCAATAGAAACTCATTCATCACTAAGCTTTCTTTAGACTATAAAAGAGAAATAACTAATATTAATTTCATTAAATCCTTAAATAGAAAAATGGCATTCATCATGTCAAAGACGATTGACTTATATGCTCATATAGGTGTTAGTGAGTAGTAATTATTGCACTATTCCTTTTTTCTTTTCACGAAAATATTATTAATTAACGCACTCTTTAATTTTTTGTAATTGATTCTGATTTTTTTAATTATAATTAAATATAAGATGATTTGAAACTATTCAATTCAACTGATAGAAATGAAATACAATACCACTCGATTAAATGATTCATAAAATGCATAGTTGTTTCCATCGAAAGAAATTTTTTTCTTTTCGTATTAATGCTAGAGGTGCCTTGAAAGAGGGAGAAAAAAAACAAAAATTATTTCTTTTAAGAGAGATGTTACACTACCTTGTGGTCCATCATATGTATTTTTAACCATCTACTGATTTATAACAATTTTTCATACATCCTTATCCTATTTCATTAACACATAGTAACATCTTTTTAAGTTTTCTAAAATTGCAATAAAAAAAAGAATCATTTTCTTACTCTCACATATACTATTCCTATATTCATTTATTTATTTCTCGTGAATGATAGAAATATTCATCTTTTTCTTTTGCGAAAAATTATCAAAGTAAAAACTACCAAATTTCAAACAACCATTAAAATCAATGGTAAGATAATTGTGCCTTTAGACGGAAGAACCGATCTTGTAAATCGACAAAATCATAGGTAAGAAAGTAATTAACTTTCTAATCATTCATATGACACAACAAAACACATAAGCACATTATTGCGTTTGTTTATGTATTTACCGGTACTCGTACATTTTGTGAGGCAATTCATTAATGATTATCCATATCATTGGCATATAATTAGTACTTTTCACCAAAAAATACCTTAGTGTAACAATTAAAGGAAAAAAGGAAAAAGCAGAGACAATATACAAGTATAAATTTGTATATTTAAAGAAGAAAAATATAAAAGAAAAAAACTTTTTGTACATGTAAAATAAAGACATTAACATTAGATTCTACACTTAGTTATAAATGTTTGTTTCTCAATTAGGCAATGACATTGACAATATGAATATCTAAAAAGTAAAACTAACATGCTAATAAGCATAAAGATCAAAATTTTAATTGAAAAAAAAAAAGAGGAAAGAAATACAGAGAAAGGGGTAATTAAAATAAATCGCATATTTGTTAGTCTCAGAACTATTTTTGAGTGCATCTATTGGCACAAAAGAAAAAGAGATGAAAATAAAAAAATATCACAACCCATAAGCAAAATGTTAAAAATTAAAAAAGTGAAAAATTCAAAATAACTATAAACCAAGTAATCACAAAGTGAGAACTACCTCTGCGTTAACAAAATAAAAAACTTGAAATATAAAGTCAGCCACATTGATAGAGCGTTAGAGGTTGATGCTGAGGCAATAAATCTGTTGTTGCCATATTGGCCTTGTAGGACCAGTTTTTTTTTCCTTACACATAACTTTTGATTCCGTTACTCTCTACTGTAAATTTATATTTACTACTCGAATATTTTTCATACGCACAAAGAACTCAGTAAAGAAAACTCAAGCAGAAGAAAATGAAAATCGGAGAGGATAGTAAAAAAATACCCAAAAAATAATAACAGAGGAGAACTTATTTCTTCATCAACAAAAATAAAAAAAAAATGAAGTGTGATGCAGAGGTGATGCTAAGTGAGTAAAAAAAGGAAGAAAAGATACAATTTATAACACAATAAACAAATAGGGATTACAAATTCCAAAAGTCACAATCCAAGATGCAATTTATAACAAATTAAATAATTGGTTACAGGAGCTTTTTAACTTTTTTTTCTATAATTAAGAAAGTTGAGTATTAAAATATATAGAACTCAAATTAATACCAAAGTTACATTAAGGAAACTCAGCTTTTAACCGGGTTTTATAATGGTTTGTTAAAAATATATGTTTTTTGAGAAAGATCACTAACACCAGTTATCACATGTTCAACCCAATTCCATCGATTACTTTCCCGAAAACCAAATGCTTTCAATCTAGATGGAAGTTTTAGTATTTGTGATAAAACTCTATGAGTCTTAAGGGGTTTTTTCCTTTAGCCATTTGCATAAGCATATTCCTACTTCCTGTTGCGCTATTTGTGGTATCATATATTCCGTCCTGCACCCAACACAATATAGAAAAACTGATGCTCCATAAAAACCAGAGAAAACCAATAAGTATGCAAGCACTATCATAAAGAGCCTACAAAAAACTCATCAAGTTTTGGGACGATCACCCTTTCGAATTATAGCATGCATTTGAAAATAAACATTCTAATTAAGTAACCTAAAAATAACTAATACACTCCCTGGTATAATTTTGTATGGAATTTTTTGCAAACCATTTTGTGTCGTATCTGCAAAGAAGCAAAATTTGGAGATATTTTCACCCGTGGAAAACTTAATATATCAAGAATCAGAATATTAAATCAACGACAATCCTGCAAAAATAATAATTTTGTTGATATATTCCACAAACATTCAATAATATTTGATTATAGTGCCAAAACAAACCTTGCGTAATGAAGCAGAAGGGTGTGAAACAGGCAAGTTTAACTTTCACTGAATAAAGACGTTTGGGCTTTCATTCAAACATATTAAGAGGCGTTAGTGAAGAGATAAAAAGTAAAAGGGCAAGGAAACAGTTACTTTTAATTTTGTAAGCAAACGGGCAAGTTCAACTTTCATTGAATGACGCTTGTTTGGATTTTTAAGGGTGTCATAATTTGTTTCTTAATGAGAATGAAGAGAAAAAGGACGTGACTTTTGGTTTTTGAAGAAGCGACTTCTCGATTTATAAAAATAGCAGATTAACAGAAAAATAGGATAAAAGCCAAATAATTGACAAAAAAGATAATTGGGTTTCATGCTCAATGAGGCATGCCACATCACTTGGGCAATGTCCCTTAATTATATATATAGAGAGAGAGAGAGTTTTGTAATGTGAACTCTATGCTATATTTTTTAACAGTTTACTCTACTTACTAGTTACTACCCAATGAAACACTAAGCACCCGTTTGGCTATAGATTCAGGGTATATTTTGAAAACACTGAAACATGTTCAGCTTTTGAAAAAATTGAATTTTTTTTTCAAGTTGTCAAAAAAATAGTTTAGGGTAGTATGTGGGTGAAAAGTTTTCTTCTACTCACAAAATTTCAAGGTTTTTTTTTAAATAAAATGCATGTCCAAAAACAATTTTAACTTCTAAAAATTATTTTTCAACACAACTTTAATTTTTTTTTAAGTTTTAACCAAATCTATAATTAAACGCGAAAACTATGATTAAAAAAAATATAGATCTATATTTATACTATATTAAATGCATGAAGATTCTTAGGGAAATATCATTTGTCTTTTTTACCCTTTAAAAATAGATTTCATATTGAACTAAATAATCATTTGTTATTTTTCTAATCTATATCTATATCATCATACTATATTATAAGTAGGAAAACCCAAAGTGAAAGTTGAATACCAAATTGTCCTATAAAAGTTAAATGTCATTCTTTACATTTCAAGCAAATACTACTAAAGTAAAAAATTAATTGTGCAAAAATGGAATTACACATACTAATAAAGTTTCAAAAAATTTTGGAGAATGTAAGGAGTTGCATTGAATAACTCAAGTAATAGGCTAAATTCATTTGGCTAATTTAATACGAGCCAAATTCATATACTGAATGCAAATTGTTACTCATTAACTAATTATCCATTCAATATATGCAAGAAGGGGTGTTCACGGTTCGGTTTGATCGATTTTTGATTAAAACCAAAATCAAACTAATTTAATCGGTTTTTAAAGTTTTAAAACCGAAACCAAACCAAATTAAATACAAACCATCAGTTTGGTTATTATTGATTTGGTTTGGTTTGGTTTGGTTTGGTTTGGTTCGATTTTTCGGTTCTTAATAAGCTAATAATAAGTCGATAATAGAGAAACAACACTATACAATAATCTGAAAATAATTTGCTAAATTTATGCTTTTTATATATTTTTTTCGGAACTGAAAGTTTATTTACCTCTTTATATGAAAAGAATGAACAAAAAACGAACTAAAAGTTTGCTTTCTCAAGCTTTAGCCACTGTAGTCCTGCAATTTGAGTTTGCTTTCTTTACTCTTATGGTAGGATTTTTTTAACTCTTCTGTTGGACAAAAGTATGTGTGGAGGGTTAGAGAATTAAAGTCTCTTAAGGAAAAGAAAATTGGTCAATTCTTATTGTTTTGGGCTTAGACAATCTTTTAAGATATAAGTAGGATAAATCCAAATTTAAAATAACAATTAAATTGCATAAAATATTTAAAATTATTTAGAAAAAGATATTATATTGTATATGAATAATTATTAAATTTTGTATATAATTAATCGGTTTGGTTAAGTTTATTTTTCGGTTTTTTATAATAGAACCAAAACCAAACCAAATATTATCGATTTTTAAAATTTAAAATCAAAACCAATTCAAATTAAAAAAATATCGGTTTACTTAATCGG